GTGAATGTTAAAATACATAAACTTTCTCTGCTGATGAATATTTATATTGGAGTCTTAGGAAGGGTCCTTGCTTATTTTCCATTCTAAAGTTGGGCTGGACACAGTGGGCGTACAGGTGCCATCACACGGGCTCTTGTTTCTCTACGACCCGTTCTGTTAGACATCTTTCCTACTTTTTTGCTTGAGATTATTTGTCCTCTAGTGAGCCAGCTGGTTTGCAGATGGTACTTGGCTGAAAGTGTCTTGCTGTTAATAGTTACTATGGATGTCCTATGTCAGCTGGTTCTATTAAAAAAAAAAAAAAGTCTGTGAATCCAAATCCTTTTGAATTTTGAAAATTACTTTCTGTCTGGAATTTTGAAGACTGATTCATATAGTGGAGGACTGAATACAGATTTTTATTTTATAAATTCCAGCACTTAGCATGTTCTTGATTCTATTATTGTAAGTGACATCTATTTGACTACGAAACCAAAGACTACAATTCTTTATAAGGATTCCTCTTTTTTTTTTTTTTTTTTTTTTTTTTTTGAGACATAGAGTCTCACTCGGTCACCCAGACTGCAATGCAGTGGCGTGATCTCACTTACTGTAAGACCTGCCTCCCAGTTTCAAATGATTTTTATACCTCAGCCTCCCAAGTAGCTGGAATTACAGGTGCGTGCCACCAGGCCTGTCTAATTTTTGTATTTTTAGTAGAGACAGGGTTTCGCTGCATTGGCCAAGCTGGACTCCAACTCCTGACCTCAAGTGATCCACCTGCCTTGGCCTCCCAAACTGCTGGAATGACAGGTGTGAGCCACCGTGCCCAGCCAGGATTCTTTTAGAAGAGGCTGTAGTGAGCAGCATCTACCAGCTTGCATCCCTATATGTTTCATATCTTAAGTGTTTGCTTGGGGAGTAAACCAAAGTAAAAACGTCCTTTTCTCAAATTAAGGACATGGAAAGATTTACTATTCTTTTTTTTTGAGACAAAGTCTCACTCTGTTGCCCAGACTGGAGTGCAGTGGTACAATCTTAAGATCTCAGCTCACTGCAGCCTCCACCTCCCAGGTTCAAGCAATTCCCCTACCTCAGCCTCCCGAGTAACTGGGATGACAGGCCCACACCACCATGCCTGGCTAATTTTTGTGTTTTTAGTGGAGACGGGGTTTCACCAAGTTGGTCAGGCTGGTCTGGAACTCCTGACCTCATGATCCACCCACCTTAGCCTTCCAAAGTGCTGGGATTACAGGCATGAGCCACCTTGCCCAGCCTGGAAGTCTTTACTATACTTAAGATGGCAGTAGTCCCCAAGTTAATCTATGGATTCAACTCAGTCTCTTTAAATCCCTGGTTGCTTTTTTGTAGAAGTTGGCAAGCTGATCCTAAAATTCATATGGGAATAAAAAGGAACCTAGAATAGCCAAAATTATTGAAAAAGAATAACGTTAGCAAGGTTATGTTGCTCAATTTCAAAACTTAATACAAAGCTAGAGTAATCAAGACTGGTACTGGCATAAGGATGACCATTCAGACCCATGGAACAGATTTGAGAATCCAGAAATGAATGCATACTTTCATGACCAATTGATTTTTGGCAGCGGTGCTAAGAGTCTATTGACAAAAGAATAGGCTTTTCCACAGATGATGCTGGGATAACTGAATATCCACATGGAAAAGAATGAAGTTGGAACCTTATGTCATATACAAAAATTAACTCAAAATGGATCAAAAACCTAAATATATGATCTAAAACTATAAAACTTTTAGGGAAAAAAATAGATATGTCTTGGATTTGAGAATGATTTCTTCAATATGACACCAAAGCACAAGCAACCAAAGGAAAAAAAGATAAATCGAACTTCATCAAAATTTAATATTTTTGTGTTTCAAAAGATACTATCACAAAAACAAAGACAACCCACAAAATGGGAAGGAATATTTAAGAAACACCTATCTAATAATAGTCTAGTATTAAGCCAAGGTTGAGTTCTTATTTCTCCGTCCTTAAAGGTACACGATACTGTGTTAGTGAAGTTGAATTCCATTATTACCACATTTATCTTTAAAGATGTTTGTTTGCATCATGGGTCCAGTTACTTTCTCTGCCTTCTCCCTCCAAAGGATTTCTCAGTTTCAGTAATGTTATATACTAATTTCAAGGGGAACTACAACTCAAAACAATTCAGAAATCTGAAGCGTAAAAATTTATGGTTTAGTTGATGAAAGGGGAAAAATACATTTAATGCATATCATATTTAGGTGTAAAGCACTTGATGTTATATTGCTTAACGTCGTAGCTCTTCAGTGTTCTCATCACATGAAGTAAATAAAAGAAAATTCTTTGTGGGTCACATGTCTGTTTCAGCCAATCAGAAACCAGGATTATTTTGTATGTAATAATAGGTTTTGTTGGAAGAGGAGCTATATGTATGGTAGGACTTAGAGGATAGAGGGCCCTGCATGTTAGGGCTTCTTAGTTGTAGCGAAGAGGCAATTGGTCTGGTATGTTTAGCTTTTCACATTTACTTTTGAGATCTGACTCTGGAAATGTACAACCCTATCTTTTAGGTTATAGGTTAAGATGTTATTTGCTTTTAATACTTCTTAAGGTAGCAGCATTGATCACTGCTTTTACTTTTGATGAAATAACTTAATGAGCTGTGAAGAAAAAATTACCAGATTTTAAGGGAGAGAGAGAATTTTACGAAATGTCTTTGAGGTTTCTATCACCTTTAGGAGAATGTCTTCGAAGTTTCCATCACCACCTCTACCAGTTTTTCTTCCATCGGAGCCAGTGGACCTAGGTTCCGTAACAAGCTCCTCTTGTTCACTGAATGAGACAATATTTTCTCCCTTTTAAGGACAATAGCAGCTGATATCAATGAAATTAAAGGAATGAAAGCTCCTATTTTGACAGTGGAAGCAAATCTGTTTGGTCTAAATGTTAAGAGTGTCCCAGAATGAAGCAAAAATTTCATCTTTTGAGGTTAAAATGAGTGAATATTCAACAACATCTGAATACAGTAGACAATTTGAAGATCTTAAAGAAGAAGTTACTTAATCACAGTCAAGACCTACTGATATATAAAAATAATTGGTTTCCTTAGAAACGTTGAGAAAGGTAAACTCTTAATATACAATGTCTTCTAGGTACCCATCCTTTGATCTGTATCTTTCCACGTCTGTAGCTCTGATGTGGAGGGAGCAAGTTACAGAGAACTTGAATTTTTCATGGACCTTTAATGACAAATTTGGATTCTGCTTGATTTAACTTAGAATCCTAGAATTGATCAGAATTCCATCCTCTTTAACTGAACTCTCTAAAACGATGTTTTGAAAAGATAGATGAACCGCCGGGCGCGGTGGCTCAAGCCTGTAATCCCAGCACTTTGGGAGGCTGAGGCGGGTGGATCACGAGGTCAAGAGATCGAGACCATCCTGGTCAACATGGTGAAACCCCATCTCTACTAAAAATACAAAAACATTAGCTGGGCATGGTGGCGCATGCCTGTAATCCCAGCTACTGAGGAGGTTGAGGCAGGAGAATTGCCTGAACCCAGGAGGCGGAGGTTGCGGTGAGCCGAGATCGTGCCATTGCACTCCAGCCTGGGTAACAAGAGCGAAACTCCGTCTCAAAAAAAAAAAAAAAAAAAAAAAAAGATGAACCTAGAGCAATAAAGCAAAACTTGAAATGTGGAAGAATGGTCTTTCATGTATCTGTGTGAAGTTATTTTAAAATGCCTAATTCTTTCATCATCTACTATTTATGTGAAGTCCTGTTGCAGTATTTAGATTGAAAGAGCCTTCTTCCTGTAACCTTTTAGCTCAGTTCTCCAAGCTTCCCACAGGAATACAGCTTGACCTAAGTGACATCTTGGTTACAGTTCCTTAGAATGTGTGCTTTTTTCGGTAATAATTCTGGAAGGAATTCACATTTTTGGGATGCACCAATAAAATGTCATATGCCATATGTTTTAAAAGAAATCAACTGATAAAATTTCAAATTGGTTATATCTTTTAAAATTTAAAAACCCCTTTTAATGAAATGTGTTTGGTGGGAGATTGCCCACTTGTCTTCGCACTGTGTAAGCAAAGCCTGTCCTTGTGAAGCCACCTGCAATGGATGTACCAAAAATTAGGATGTGGGCATCTTAATAAGATTTCAGTATTTGCAGCCCTGTCAATTACATCCCTTTGTGCACTGTAGTGCAGTACCTAATAATGAGCAAGTGAGCATCTGATGTCTGCTAATGACATTCTCCCATCCTCAAGGACCTTAACATCAAATGGAAGAAAGATAAAATCACTTTTTTGACCTTATTTTGTGCAGACTGCTGAGCATATTATTATTAGAAATTGTGAACCTAATATTAGGAATTAATGTTATGAACCTGTTTTAGAAGAAATAAGTAGTTGAACATCTTTTCTTGTGGGAGAGCCAAACAGTTACTATCATGCTTCCTGACATCTGGTGTGGACTCCACAGCTGAGTGTCTTGTTTTCTTAGCGTGCATTGAAGCCCATAGTTTGTCTTTTAGGAAGTTTATATTTAGATGATTCTAGAGTGTTTTGTTTTGCTATTTGTTACCTTCAAAGGTCATGGGTGAGTGAGTCGTGATGGTAAGAGCCCAGGTGATGGAGGGAGGTGCTTGCCATCTTTATTTTGCAGTTGGCTGTGATGTGAGCTGCTGGGCCACAAGGTGCCTCTCCCTGGATTTTCCACCCTTTTACCACCTTTATTTTCCCCACAGAATTCAAATCCAGGAAAACTGATATCCCCACAGAGGGAGAACCAGGAGTGTCTTACATTGGCACTTTTAGTTTAACCCTGAGTTCAGCCTTTTTTGTCTTACAGGATATTCTTTGGTCCATAAATAGTATAAAATTTCGTTGCTGAAGTTTTAAGTTACTTTTAAGACTTTCAGTTAAGAACCCAGAAGGATTGATTTTTGGGAACCACATGCTCGTATTGTCTGTGTTGTAAGCTTAGTGAAGTTTTAAAATTTATATTCTAGGAACTCAACAGAGGCAATTATTATCCCGACTACAAATTGACCCAGTAATGGCAGAAACTCTGCAGATCAGTCAAGGTTGGTAATGTTTATAGTTGTACTATAATCTAGCAGTTTCAGTTGCCATTTCCGTTTCTTACACCCCGTTTAATGTATCTCATTATCTCTTAGATCCTGCCCTAAGATGTTATATTTAGATCTGTGAAAATATTTTAGGGCCAGGAGATAAGATCTGCGTTTTCTTCATGTTATGTAGTGTTTAAATTTTTTGCCTCATTGGAAAGCTTTATTCCTTTCACGCCATTGCACGTGTGTCCCTAGCACTGTTGGCTGTCACTCTCCTGCTGTCAGGAATGACTTGAGTTTCTGACTTGTCCTCCTATTCCACCCAGCCTTTGCCATTGCCGTGCCTGGCTTTTGTATCCTCTTTTTCACCTGGTTAGCCTTATCTTCCTGTACTTCACTTTGGAATCTTATCACCAGGGCCACACCTGGAACTTGTTCTAGAGCCGCTTTAGTTTATCTGTTTCCCCTCCTCTTCCCACAGACACACATGCCAAGGGCTACTTCAGGACTGGAGCTGACACCTTCGTTGTTATTGTCTCTGTCCTCAGTGCCCAGCCCCTCGCAGATGCATGTTCAGTGTCTTAAGAATGACTGCAGGATAAACACAGGCAACCATTAGAGACCCAGAATCGTCTCAGTCCTGTTTCCCCTGAGTCTGTCCTTTGTGGGATGCTCTGGTCCCTTGACCCCTCCCAGTTAGTCCCTTCCTAGATTTTCTTTCCCTTCAGTCAGGACTCCACAGTGAGTCACTTTGTTCCTGACCCTTCCCAAGGTTTCCACCTCAGAAAGTGTGCTATATACCTTCTCAAGGGTCAGCCTCCACTACAGCCCAGATCCCACTGGATTGGTGAGCACTGGCATGTGACTGCACCCCTCCAACTTCATCCTCTGCCGCTTCTCTTCTGTCTGTAGAGGTGTTCAGACATTGCTCTCTCATCTCCCAGCAGTCTGTCCTGCCTCCTACACAGGAGGCTTTGAAAAGGTTGGCAGCCAAGGTCTGTGTGTGGGATCCACTTCACCAGCTCTCCTGCATGTTTTCTTTTCTGTTTCTTTGTGCCTTTCATTGTATCCATAGTGCACGCAGCTTGAAACATCAAGTAGTTCTGTGATGCTTATGAATGACTGCAGTCCTTAGCTCCTATCACATTTTTTATTCTAAGAGCCCTTTGTTTCCTCATATTCTATTACTTTTTAAAAAACATACTGATTTTGTTTTATGTATGCAATACTTTTTGTTATTTCTCTGAGGATATGAAGGGTTGTTTTGATATTCTTCCCCCTCCCTGCTTGGTCTTGTTTTCTATAAGTGGTCTGTTTTGGTTGTCTTTTATGCTGGAGGTTTCTCTGATGTTTGGGGATCCTAGGTGGTCTTACATTTAAAGAGTGGAGCACTCAGAAGCTCACTGGTACTCTGGGTTCATGAGTTGGGGCATAGGGTTCTTTGACTTTTTGAGAATAGATCCTGTGTTGGACAGTGATTTCTCCTGCCTGTCTAGTTTGTGGGCACCCTGATGGCACTGCCTTTAAGTCTTTCCTCTCAGGCTGGTCAGCTTCTCCAGTAAAAGGTTTTTTCAAATAATAGCCTGGTAGTTAGAGTTCTGGGAGCTTAAGTAGGGATAGAAGGCTGGGGGAGGCATCTCAACATTAATTATTATGTAATGTTTACATAACCGTTCACCACCATTGTCAGTTCAGTACTTCTTTCATCATGGCTAGTGTCTCTTGGTCCAGGGATTCTGTTGTTACCCTCTGAAGAGTCTAAAGCTCCACTTTCTCCAAGGGAGAATGCATGCAATGGGTAAAGTTTCATCGGGAAATCTAATTGCCTTTAGAAATTTTTTAACAGTGTACACCCAGTTGATTTTGTTGTAGCATCTTTCTGGCAGAGACCCTGATTACTTCATCCATAGGCCTCTTCTATGAGAATCTACAGGAAAGCACATCGCCCGTCATCCCAGGTGTCTTCAGTGTGGAGATCGGGATTGGTGTGGCAAGGACCAAAACCAAGAAAACAGTGGCCAGGCGTGGTGGCTCATGCCTGTAATCCCAGCACTTTGGGAGGCCAAGGTGGGCAGATCACTTCAGGTCAGGAGTTCAAGACCAGCCTGGCCAACATGGCAAAATCTGATCTCTACTAAAAAATAGAAAAATCAGCCAAGCATGTAATCCCAGATACTCGGGAGGCTGAGGCAGGAGCATCACTTGAACCCAGGAGATGGAGGCTGCAGTGAGCTGAGCTCACACCACTGCACTCCAGCCTGGGCAACAGAGCAAGACTGTCTCAAAGAAAACAGTTACCTGGAATTAGAGTTGAAGAACTAACTGCTTCTCAGAGGGATACCGCCAACACCTCTTTTTTGCCTGTCATCTCTCTCATTTCTTCTCAAGGTCCGTTTTACTGCCAGTTCCTCAGCCTTTGGAGAATCTTGTGTTCTGAATAGGATTGCTTCATTATTGCCTTAGAATTCAGCTCTTACAGATCCCTTTAGTTCCTAATCATCTGTTTTCCACTTTCAAAATTTCTTTGTACACTTACTTTCTTAGTGAGTTTTTAAAACGTAAAACCCTTATTGACATTTTTGTGGGCTTTCAGGAAGGAACAAAAAGTAAATGCGTGGACTCAGCCTGTGGTCTTTTACTCAGAAGATGTTACTTACTCAGTTTGTCTGGTCTCCATGTGACCCAGGCTGCTGACTTTCAGCTTGCAGAGAGGTGTGTGGGAGGGATAGGTCTGCTGTTGGTGCACAGCTTCCTCAACCCTGGAGTGTGTTACACTTGGCTTCCCATACTTTCTCTAAGCTTTGACCTTTTGGCTTCCAGGACTTCACTGTCTCTATTCTTCTCCTTCCCTTTCATTCTCATGTATCAGCTCCTCTCCTCCACTCCTCCTCAAAAGGTTAGCTTTGCTCTCCCCCACCTTCGGCATTATTTTCATCTCTTCTGTGTTCACCCAACCTGTAAACTTGCAGAACTCGTTCATCTTAAAAAGTGCAGGGTGGTGGTAAGGAGTGAAGCTGCCCCCTGGACCATTGTTTGGGCCCGTCTTTGATAGTGGTGAAACCTTGGCGAATCATTTAATAACTTGGAGCTGCAAATGGTCATCTATAACATGGGAGGAAAACTACTTTTTTTAGGCATTGAGTGAGGATTCAATGAAAAATGGCTACCTAAGTATGTTAAACACTCTTCTGTCACGTTCAGTTTAACTTGGCGTCTTCTGTACCTCCACCTACAGGTCAAATCTGAATTTTCTACTTCCTCTTAAACATGGAGAGTCACTTTAAATAAATCTCCTATTGAAATGTATCTTCGTCCTCTTTAACTTTGCTCTTTTTCCTTTCCTAAGTTTCTCTCCCAGCTTTCTTTTCCACCTGTGTCCTTTTACCATCTGTACTCCCCTTACTGGGGAAGGCGGGTGTGCCCCTTCCCAAGATGGAGTATGTCTTCTCTTCCTCTCAACTATATGGGACCAGGACAGATGGCAGAGAACCTTCTCATTCAGAGCCTCACCCTCTCTCCCGGCAACAACAGGTCAAGGACTCTGGTTCTTTCTTAACACTGTCTGTTTTTCTAAAAACCAATTTGATCAGGTCACTTCCCTACTTAGGAACCTCTCTTGATTTCTTTTTTCTTTTTTTGGTTTGAGATGGGGTCTCCCTCTGTCACTCATGCTGGAGTGCAGTGGCACAATCATGCTCATTGTAGCCTCGACCTCCTGGGACCAAGCGCTTCTCCCACCTTAGCTTCCCAAGTACCAGGTAGCTGGGACTACAAGCATGTGCTGCCACACCCGGCTAATTTTTTTTTTTTTTTTGCTGGTTGATGCGAAGTCTCACTATGTTGCCCACGCTGGTCTCAAAACTCCTGGGCTTGTGGAATCCTTGTGCCATGGCCTCCCAAAATGCTGGGATTATAGATGTGAGCCACCACACCAGGCCTCTTGATTTCTTACTATGTAGAGACCAGAATCCAGAGTCACTGAGGCATAGAAGAACCTTTATTATATATGTCAGCCTTCCTTGCCATGCACCGCTGAGCCCACCACACACACCCTTCCAGACATTCCACATTATAGCCTTTCTCAGATACCTTAGGCCTTGTGAAAGTCCCTTTCCTTCTACATGTGTTTTCTTCTGCCTCAAGTGCTGCGTTTGTGTCTCCGACTCTCTCTTCTCGTTTATTCCTGCTCGTTCCTTTACTGCCAACTTCAGATGTTCCTCCTTGGTAAGCTTGTCTTTGGTTCTTGGCTGGAGTGGACTGCTCTGTATTCTTAGCACCTTGTTGGCGTTCCTTTTGGGTCATGCTGTTCTGAAATTGTACATGTGTCTATTTTTCTTTTTTTCTTGTGTACCTAGCTCAGTTCTTTTAGTTGTTCAGTAAATACTCAGTGAATGAATGTGAATGAATTATCTTGTGAATTTTGGTCTCTAAGCTTTAAAAGAAATGTATTAACTTCAGTCTGTTGATGGCATATTGATAGGTCATCCATATCCATTCTGGGTTGTAGGTCTTGGCATATTTTATAAAATAGCCTTAAGCATGTTGTACATGATGTGAGCTTATGGGTTTTGCATTCAAGGCCCGCGTTTTTCTTGATACGCATGTGTAAGTGCCCATTCATCTTTCAGTTCCCTTTAAAAGTCCTCGGACTGCAACCAGTTGGAAATTATGCCACTTGAATTCTTTTTATCAGGACGTGATTCTTAGCTGTATGTGGTACTGTGTGAGGTGAACAAACCAGATTTTTGAAAAGTGGTTCAGTAGTCTATTACAATTGTAGGGAGCCTTACGACTCAGATTCTCCAGGTTTTTAGGAAAGACTGTTGTACTTTAAGGGTATATTGTTAATACCTCATTAGATGCCTCACCTGAGAACCTTTCTCTGCTCTAGGTAGGGAGTGTTAATCAGAATCACTTCTACTGTGCCCTGGAGGAAAGGGCTCTTTGAGTTCTTTGAAAACATGTTTGGAATAGAATTACAGCCCTATTTTCCTGAGTGGAACCAGTTGTGATTTTCCTTTGAAATAATTTGAATATATAAAAGATTGACGTTCTTCTCACGTGTATGATGATGGGAATGCAAGGTATATTCAAAAGTAAACATTTGTGGCCAATTTTTTTGGCTCAGATTACTATGACATGGAATCCATGGTCCATGCAGACACAAGATCATTTATTCTGAAGAAGCCAAAGCTGTCTGAGGAAATAGTAGTGGCACCAAACCAAGAGTCGGGGATGAAGACTGCAGATTCCCTTCGGGTACTTTCAGGACACCTTATGCAGACACGGTAGATGGTTTCTTTTTCTTGTGTAGTTAATCTGTGTGATTAGATAGTACAGGTTAACCGTTCATTTGCAGTTTCCCTCCTCCCTGCCCCAGCCCCTAGTGTAGAATGCTTTCAGTGATTCAGTAGCTAGCCTATGAATAGTTAGCCAAATTCAGTTTTCAAGAATTCCAGTTCATCTTTCTTGTTCAGAAATCCATTAACCCACAAAATAGAGCTCAGTGTATGATTTAACTGTATTAAGATTCTTTTCTTTATGCAAATCCAGGAAATGCTAGTTTAAAAGCCAACTGACCATAATCAGGAAATCTAAAGGGAGTTGGCGGATCAGGTTTGGGTGATTTTTTTTTTTTCCTTAGAAAATTGACTGATTCTATAAAAGAACAGACATACAGATAATGAATTAGCGTAAATGCTGCTGGCCCTTGTGTTCTGAACATTGATGCTAATTTTTTGGTTTATTTCCATGTTGACCCTATGAGGATCAAATGGGTAATGGGGTCAGGCTTGAGGGGAGATTGTCCTTAGTAAGTGCAGGCCGGAGGGTCACTGGTGATGATGCCACTGTGACTTGCCTTGGTCATTGTGTATTAGTAGGGAACCCCCCAGTGCTGCACCTGGAAGCCTTACCTGGTCTTTTTTTATTGAACCAAACACTAAGCAAGGGAGTGATAGTTCTACTGAAGAGCACTTGAGGGGGCTCAGCGTTTTGTGTTTGTTTCCCTAATTCTATGGTATTTTTTATCTGTCTGGCAGAGATCTTGTACAACCAGATAAACCTGCAAGTCCCAAGTTTATAGTGACGCTGGATGGTGTCCCCAGCCCCCCAGGATACATGTCAGATCAAGAGGAGGACATGTGCTTTGAAGGAATGAAACCCGTAAACCAAACTGCAGCCTCAAACAAGGGACTCAGAGGTCTCCTCCACCCACAGCAGTTGCACTTGCTGAGCAGGCAGCTTGAGGACCCAAATGGTAGCTTTTCCAACGGTGTGTTGAGAGCTCAGATTTTCAGGGTGCTGTCATTGTCAAGGGAATCTTTGACTTGTTTCTCTGCCTTGAATGAATATTGGTTAAAGGCCTTGCTTTTATTTATATTCAGTAATGGCCTTTTTTCTTCTTTCAGACAAAACCACCAATTATATTTCAGACTCTCTTTTTTCTGTGTCTGTTTCATAGGTGGGCTGTTACTCCAGTGCAAAAATGGAGTTCAGCCATGGAACCTAAGGGTCCCCTTCCTTATGCTGGCTAAAGGGTGGACCATCATTCTTGATGCCTTGTTTACCTTTTTATTTTCCTCAGAAACTGTACTGCCACTTTGCCCTTTTATTGGTAATAGTCTCTTGTAATTAACTTGAGAGAAAAATTTAGATTTGCTGCTATTTCTACCTCAGTGAAATTTCTTTGAAAGGAGTTTCTCACTTACTCTGTCAGGATACTTCTTGGAACTGTTTAAATTAATGTTGGAGAGTAATATTTAGCAGAACTCAGATGAACTTAATTCAGATAGCACCACGCTTTTAGGCAGGTGACAGTTTATCACTGCTTCTTCTCTCACTGGGTATCAGTGGCAACACTGATCATTTTCATTCACGATAGAGAACGATAATTATGTTCCTCATATCCTCTAAAATTTTCAGAAACACCTCTTCATTGGCAGGAGGGATAATTACTGAATCTTAAAAGTGTACAGATTCAGTTGAAGAACAGTAATGGATTTTGAAACATTTCCTTGATTAGTCCTCTTGGAAGATATTTCTATGAAAATGTATTGACTGCCTTTTTAGATCACTAAAAATAGACTTCAGAGGGAGATCATATGTTAGTGGAGCAGTAACACTTAGCTTTATTTTAACTGGATGTGTTTCCTGTGGACCAGTGATGTGGTGTTGTGCTTTTGATTAGTGGAGGGAGTTGAAAATCTGACCTTATCAACAGGAAGAAAAACTTGAAAATAGTAAAAGCTGCAGTAATCAGGCAGTACAGATTTCTTGACTCTGTATGTTTTGTCTAAAGAGAAAACTCCAGTGTTTTCACAACTCTTGATTTTTCAATATGGTAGTTTAATTTTTTGGTCTGCGAGGATCTGATTTCATTTTAAATGTAGATGTCCATATGAGGCTTTATGGGGGGTATACATGTAGCAGCAGTGACACTGTAAATAACACGTTAGTAAACATTCTTGCCAGTGCCATGGCCATTGTGCCGACAGCTGTGATGAGTGCTGAGCCTCCTTTCCATTGCTTTGACTGGGGACTCAGTTATTTGCTGCTGCTCAAGGATGAAGCTTTGTGAGAATTAGCACATGGGTCTGGCTGGAGAGACTCCCGCAGAGCAGTTCTCAGCATTCTCTAGCCTCTGTACCTCTTCCCTTGTGAGCAAGGAGTTTGAAACTGCAATTGCTTCTGGTTGGTTTTATGTTGGGTTGTTTCAAACAGCAACATCTGTTTCAACCTGTACCTTTTCATTAACCATCATATGGCAGCACAGATTTTATAGCCCTTTTTTTTTTTTGAGAATGAGTCTCTCTCTGTCCCCCAGGCTAGAGTGGTGTGATCTCAGCTCACTACAACCTCCACCTCCCGGGTTCAAGCCATTTTCCCGCCTCAGCCTCCCAAGTAGCTGGAATTACAGGCATGCACCATCGTGCCTGGCTAATTTTGGTTTAAGTAGAGATGGGGTCTCACCATGTTGGTCAGGCTGCTCTCAAGCTCCTGACCTCAAGTGATCTACCCACCTCAGCCTTCCCAGAGTGCTGGGATTACAGGCGTGAGCCACCGCGCCCAACCTATAGCTTTCAATAAAAAGTGAATTTGCCTCTTAAAATTTGAACAGGAAAAGTTTAATAGCTTACAAAGTCAGTGTCAGCCAGAGAAATGACTGATAGAAACATTATGACTTAATGCTTCTATCAGAAAGATCGTTTCTTTGTAAAGTATTATTGTGATAATAAAGGTTCTTTGTAAAGTATTATATTGTTCCTGATTATCTAGCTACTTTACTTCCCAGCTAGGCTTCTCTTGGGTATTCTCTTAATCTTTTATTTGTACTGGGTTCTTGTGTGTGTATTATAGTCTCCTGTGTGTAATTTATTATAGGAAAAAGGCAAGACACATTTACTCGGCAGGGATGACAGAAAAAATTTAAAAGTCAGTGAAACTCCAGTCATCTCAGATTTTCTTTGGAACTAAGAATATTCTTGTATCTTAGAACTAAAATGAATTTTACTGTTTTTTTTTTTTTTTTTTTGAGATAGGGTCTTACTCCCATTGCCCAGGCTGGCGTTAGTGGTGCAGTCAAGGCCCACTGCAGCCTCAGCCTCCCAGACTCAAGTGATTCTCCCACCTCAGCTGCCTCAGTAGTTGGTTACTATAGGTGCACATCACTGTGCCCGGCTAATTTTTTGTATTTTTAGTGGAGGCCAGGTTTCACCGTGTTGCCCAGGCTGAGCTCAAGTAATCTGCCCACCTTGGCCTCCCATAGTGCTGGGATTACAGGCATGACCCACCGTGCCCAGTGACTTTTACTATTTTTAAAGTAGCATAGAAAATTGTATGTATCAGGCATTGTCATAATTGCTCTTTGATGATGCTCCTATCTGGGCTGCATGACTGGATTTGTGTGCCTTGTTCTCCTGTAATGAGGACAGAATGTGGGTCACTGGAACAGTAAGTACTCACAGTACTAGCTGCTGCTGCTATTATGATTGGTTGCCTGTTTTGTATTTTTTCCATTTAATCATCAGACTCTAAGGAAGACATTATTTTCTCTTTGTATAGGTGAGGAAATGGAATTCAGAGAACTTAGCTGACATTTGCAGAGTGTCTAGCTGAGGACTAGAGGAATATAGTTGAAGTGATACTTGCTTATGTGAACATGAATGTGAACCATAATACATAATACCCATGATGATATTTTGGGGGAGGTTAAGGTGTCTCAGGCCAGAAATTAGCAGCAGATTATCACCTCTAGCTGTAATTTTACTTATTCAGTGTTTTGTGGGTTTTTTTGTTGTTGTTGTTTTGGTTTGCTTTTTTTGAGGTGGACTTTTGCCCTTGTTGCCCAGGCTGGAGTGTAATGGTGCAATCTTGGCTCACTGCAACCTCTGCCTCCTGGGTTCAAGCGATTCTCCTGCCTCAGCCTCCCAAGTAGCTGGGATTACAGGCTTGTGTCACCACGCCCAGCTAATTTTTGTATTTTTAGTAGAGACGGGGTTTCCCCATGTTGGTCAGGCTGGTCTCGAAGTCCTGACCTCAGGTGATCCACCTGCCTTGGCCTCCAGAAGTGTTGGGATTACCTGTGTGAGCCACCTTGCCCAGGAATTCAGTGTTATTTGAATAAATCACCAGCATTACAGTTTCATTGAAAGCAGATTTTTGACTACTGAAACGTAATAAAAATCTGGCAACAGGGGTCCCTCTTTGCCCTGTCATAGTAATTGAAGCTGTGATTGGACATGGCACAGGGAATGGGGTGGTACTTGCTTTCCAGGTTGCAGCTCCCCATCTGTCCCTTACTGGATTTATCGTCGTCAGCCCAGTCAGTCTTGTTGTGTTAGGGGAATTGCCCAGTCCCTGTTGGTGATGGCATTTGTGACCCCATTGTAGGCAAAAATATTTTCCCCCTTTTTAGACATTGCTGGCTGAGCATGGTGGCTCATACTTATAATCCCAGTACTTTGGGAGGCCGAGGTGGGTAGATTGCTTGAGTCCCAAAGTTTAAGACCAGCCTGAGCAACATGGTGAAACCCCTTTATCTACAAAAGAGAGATAAAAACTAGCCAGACGTGGTGGTACATGCTACTTGGGTAGGGGCTGAGGTAGGAGGATCACTTGAGGCAGAGGTTGCAGTGAGCTCAGATCACGCCACTGGCACACCACTGCACTCCATCCTGGATGACAGAGCAGGACCCTGTTTGACCAAAAAAAGTAAAAATAGACATTGTTGTGAGTTTAGCACCTAGACTTACAGCTCAGCAAGTGGGAAACTTTTGTATTTGGATCACTCACAATCTTGCTGGCATGTGAGAATTTACATTTCCTTATCACCTTACATGTTTTCAGTTTTTAATTTTATTGGCTCCCTATTTAACATCCTTCCCCTCTCTTTTAATTCAGCTGTGAATTAGTATTGAGAATTAGAATTGTTGGTGAAAACTTTGGCCTTAGCTGCAGAAGCACTATCCTCATTCCTTTTCACAGTGAGAACTATTGTCTCCTTCCTGTTGTCTTTTATAGGTTTCTGTTGCCAGTGTTAATCTTATTATTTGGGCTTACTTATTTTACATGACTGTACATTTAACGGAAGATTTGAAGACTGGGGTTTGTGGGAAATTTGTTGAAGGTGCTGTGTACTTAATTGATCATAATGAATGAAATACTTTTAATTCCTTTCTCTTTGTAGCTGAGATGAGTGAACTGAGTGTGGCACAGAAACCAGAAAAACTTTTGGAGCGCTGCAAGTACTGGCCTGCTTGTAAAAACGGGGATGAGTGTGCCTACCACCACCCCATCTCACCCTGCAAGTGAGTACCATCCCCCATCTCACCCTGCAAGTACCATCCCCCATCTCACCCTGCAATTGTGTACCACCCCCATCTCACCCTGTAAGTACCATCCTCCCATCTCACTCTCCAAGTCAGTACCATGCCCCTATCTCACCCTGTAAGTGTGTACCATCCCCAATCTCACCCTGCAAGTACCATCCTTCCATCTCACCCTGCAAGTGGGTACCATCCCCCATCTCACCCTGCAAGTGGGCACCATCCCATCTCACCCTGAAAGTGGGTACCATTCCCTCATCTCACCCTGAAAGTGGGTACCATTCCATCTCACCCTGAAAGTAGGTACCGTTCCCCCATCTCACCCTGAAAGTGGGTACCATTCCCCCATCTCACCCTGAAAGTGGGTACCATTCCATCTCACCCTGAAAGTGGATACCATCTTCACATCTCACCCTGCAAGTACCATCCCCCCATCTCACCCTGCAAGTGGGTACCATTCCCTCATCTCACCCTGAAAGTGGGTACCATCCCCCATCTCACCCTGCTGGTGAGTACCATCACCCCATCTCACCCTGCAAATGAGTCATAGCCAGCTGATTTTGGCTTTCAGTTTAGTGTCTATATCTTATACCTTATTTTGTTTTCTTTTCTGTGGATGAGTTTTGAGTTTTATAACTAAATGCAGTGAGGATTACCATGGCCCTTTCCAGAGCAGTGTATTTCTTGTTTATGTGTGTCTGTTGAGAGGTGGGCGGTGGGAAGGGGTGCTTTTCTTTGTGCCTCAGACCTGTGAGATACAGAAATACCTGGAGTTTCTTAAGAATTCTGTACGTTTAAGGAGATGGGTGTATAACTGCCCCAGTTTGTATGCATTTTGGCCACACACACTATACACAGATTTTGAGGAGTTGAGGGACTAGTTATGAATAATGAAAATTTTGGACTTGGGTTAAATTTTTCCTTACAAGTTGGCTGGCTTAATGTAATGAACTTTGTGAGATGTCTTTTAGGGGCCTTATTTTTCAGGAGCAAGGGTCCTATGAATGGAATCTCCATTTTTAACTTCTCTTAAGGAACTATTTATGTGGGAATAATACGGCTATCCATATAAGGAGAATATGGGATGAGTCTTTTTGTTGCACAAGGCCTTGCATAGAGGATGTGTTTATTGTATTGAGTTCACTGCATAAAACATAGACCTGACTTATTAAGTGGTGTGATTTTTTAATCACAAAAGCTTCCGTCTTTTCTGCTGGCTTGGCTTGAGTTAAAAGCCTGTGTTTGTCACTCATGTTCTCACTCATAAGTGGTTGTTGAACAGTAAGAACACATAGACACAGGGAGGGGAATATCCCACACTGGGGGCTGTTGGGGTATCATAGGCTAGGGGAGGGATAGCAGGGGATGGGGAGATTGGGGAGGGATAACATTAGGAGAAATACCTAATGTAGGTGACAGCGGGGATGGAGGCAGCAAACCACCATGGCATGTGTATACCTATGTAACAATCCTGCAAGATCTGCACGTATACCCCAGAACTTAAGTAAATTTTTTAAAAAAATCTCATCTTGGCCAGGCGCGGTGGCTCACGCCTGTAATCCCAGCACTTTGGGAGGCCGAGGCGGGTGGATCACGAGGTCAAGAGATCGAGACCATCCTGGTCAACATGGTGAAACCCCGTCTCTACTAAAACTACAAAAAATTAGCTGGGCATGGTGGCGCGTGCCTGTAATCCCAGCTACTCAGGAGGCTGAGGCAGGAGAATTGCCTGAACCCAGGAGGCGGAGGTTGCGGTGAGCCGAGATCGCGCCATTGCACTCCAGCCTGGGTAACAAGAGCGAAACTCCGTCTCAAAAAAAATTAAAAAAAAAATAATAAAAAAAGCCTTTATACAAAAAACTAATAATGCATTGAGAAGATTATGAAATACACTTTTTTTTGTTTTGTAGAGCCTTCCCCAATTGTAAATTTGCTGAAAAATGTTTGTTTGTTCACCCAAATTGTAAATATGATGCAAAGTGTACGAAACCAGATTGTCCTTTCACTCATGTGAGTAGAAGAATTCCAGTACTGTCTCCAAAACCAGGTGAGTAACTTACTGTTGCAACTGCATTTGGGTAAAAAATGTGAAATGGCATCTTATGAACAAACAGAATTGAACAAACAAAAAGGTGGTTTTAGAAATAATTTTGGCAGGATCAGTTAATCCAACCAGTCTTTAAAGAGCAAGTGTGCCTATCTGTAGTACTCTGAAGTATTTTGAGTAGTGAATATATAAACCTTACCATTCTAATTTAAAAATGGTTTTCACTTTCATAAGAAAATCAGTAGACTGCATTAAAAATGGATTTTCCAGACAGATTGGGTGAGTCCCGGTTTTTACTTTGTTAGCAGTGGCACCGCCAGCACCACCTTCCAGTAGTCAGCTCTGCCGCTACTTCCCAGCTTGTAAGAAGATGGAATGTCCCTTCTATCATCCAAAAGTAAGAACTTTTCCCAAAAATCAATTTAACGATAAAATCTCAAATTACTCATCTAACTTCTTTTTGTCAGAGTTACTAGGCTGGTGCAAAAGTAATTGTGATTTTTGCCAGTAAAATCTATTAAGTTGTTCCTTCACTGTCACCAAGTCTCCATCTGGCCCCTTAGGCCAAGTGGTCTGAAACTGTTTAATGTTAGTATCCTAAGCACTCAGTAGGAAGAGGCATGCCTTTGCTAGTCACATTTTTCATTTTTCTCTGCATTTAAGCATGTGGGTGGTTTTTCGGGGGGTGTGGGGGGGCGGAGTTTGAACCTAATGCCAGAACTGAGATGGTGAAATCCCGTAGGTACTGCTTAAAACCATCTAAACTTGGACTGATGGTTTTAATTGTCTGTGTGCTAAAGATTGATGATGGTTGATGACTCTCCAGATGTTTAGTTGCTCAGAATGAATTATCTCCTTCCCCTAGTAGCCTGAGGAGTATATGAAAGGCCTTCACTTGCCCCATCTGTAACTGGGTGTAGATGAGAGTACAAGAGAAAAGTATAAAGGATAATTACTGCATCCATTAGAAGTTTATATGGTATGCTAAATTATCTTTGGAAATTTCACTTGCGGCGATTCTTTAACTAGAATTTTGTGTCTCAAGAGTAAGTTCATTTTTTCAAGGCTTCACTAGTATTAAAATGGTCATTATGGATGGGATCTCTTACTTTGTTAATGGTTAGGTTGAGCTGGTTGTTGTCATCCTAAGTTGTATGTTGGCCAGGTGGGGTGGCTCAGTCCTTGTTAGTACTTTGGGAGGTAGAGGCAGAAGTGGAAGGATCATTTGAGCCTGGGAGTTTGAAACTAGCCTAGGCAACATAGTGAGACCCCATCTCTTAAAAAAAAAAAAAAAAAAAACAGGTGTGATAGCACACGCCTGTAGTCCCAGTTACTCAGGAGGCTGAGGCAAGAGGTCACCCCAGCCTGGGGTGGTGGAGGCTACAGGGAGCCATGATCATGCCACTGCACTCCAGCCTGGGTGACAGAGTGAGACCCCGTCTCACATAATAAAAGTGTGTTTACTGATATTAGCCTTATGGATGTTGTTGAAGCTCTGTTCTCTGTATTCAGCACTGTAGGTTTAACACTCAGTGTACGAGACCGGACTGCACATTCTACCATCCCACCATTAATGTACCACCACGACATGCCTTGAAATGGATTCGACCTCAAACCAGGTAAACATTAACAATAGTTTTTCCAATGTCATTTCAAATCTTTTTCTAATTTGCAGTTTAATTTATAAGCACACAAAATGGGAAACTAGACTGTTACTTTGAATTTTTTTCTTTGCTGTATAATTATACAAGGATCCTTTGGCAAAATAATTTACTACATGGGCTAAATTTTATGTTACCCAGTGGTTACTTTTTTAACCTAGAGATTATCTTGCTCTGTTGCCCGGGCTGGAGTACAGTTACGCTATCACAGCTCACTGCAGCTCAAACTCCTGGGTTCAAGCCATCCTCCCACCTGAGACTCCCAAGTAGCTGGGACTACAAGCGCCCGCCACTACACCTAATTTTTTTTTTTTAAGTAGGGATGGGGGTCTTGAAATCCTGAGCTCAAGCGATATCCTCCCACCTTGGCTTCCCAAAGTACCAGGAGTACAGGCATGAGCCACCATACCCAACCAGATTTTAACTTCTGATTATATACTACCGTAAGAGTATACTAAGGCCAGTAAGAGTATATATATATGTACATGTACTGTTCATGAATCTCAAATTCATTTTCTTTGACATTAGCAAATGGGAAATATTGAAGGGTCAAGTTTCAAAATATTTTAGTGTGGCCTAAAAATTTAATTACATATGGTATTATCTTTTAGCTTATATAATTGAATTCTTCTAAAAAAATCTGCCATTTATATTCTTATGGCCAAATATTGTCTAAAACTACTTTTTAACTGAGATATATGGTATATATGGATACAAAGCATAAAATTAAAACAATTTTTGGTTCTGTTCACTCAGCGAATAACACTCAGTCCTACCTGGCAGAAGATCATGCAGTTTGGAAGTTTCCATCTACTGATGAATACTCTACAAAACTTGTCAAATCTTTGAAACTTGGAATATATTGCTTTCATAATATGAAGTTTATTGCCTATCCGAATTGTCTAATTTTTCAAGTTTGTAAGTTTATTAAGTGGTTTTAACATTGGGTGTTTTTGTTTTGTTTTTACTATACAAAGACAGCTTAAAGAAGAGCTACATTTTGTTAAAATATTTGGGGCATGTTTGTGCACTGCTGTTGTGAGGATCAGCATATGAAATTGACGTCATGGTTAGTGATGGTGCTGCAGCTTACGGGGCTCCACGGTTGCTGTGTGAGTGGAGAGAGGCAGTGAGGCAGGTGCCATTATTCTGAAAACTGAACTGCTTTCACTTTTCCCAAAGATTATATAACGTTCATAATCCACCATGAAAACAGGATTGGCCAAAGGTACGGAGGCTGCTGAAAATACTCAATTCTGCTTTTTAATTTTTAAGTGAATTTAGTTTGAAAAGCATGATAATACAGGCCCCTCAGGCTCAGTGCTACTTTGGTAAAGTTCCCAGTTTCCTTGCCTTTTGTGATAGGATGAACGAGGTGGGTATGGACAGTGAAGACAGCTGGAATGGCAAGTGCAGAAAACAGGAACAGTTCTACACATTTACTAATGGCATAATACCTTCTAAATAAATTTTTTGGGAAACTACATTATCACAAAATTATACAAATTTTTTTACAAGTATTTACATAAGGTATCTGAAAACAGACTTTAAAGTCACAAGATTATAAATGTACATATATATTCTCACATTCTGAAAAATAACATTCTCAGAAATAGCTCCACAGAAAATATACATAGTTACTACTGAAGATAATTTTTGAAATGTAAAAATTAGATTGAAATAGTATATTTTAAATGACAAAACTATAATTACAGAGATCAGATAGGTAAACTGTAAGATAGGATGAAACTTTTGGCCTACTGTATTACAGAGTTGTGTGTGTGTGTGTGTGTGTGTGTGTGTGTGTGTGTGTGGTTTTTAAAACTGTTAAGGCAAGAAGTGTCAAATGCTTTAGAGTTAAATAACAAACAGATCACTGATTTCAAAGACTTGATGTATAGAAGTGTTAAAAATTAAAGCTTAAAAGGTGGTTAGAAAAGTAGATTAATGCAAAAGGGATAATAAAGACTGCAACATTCTCAGGACCAAATTAAACTGCTAAAAAGTTCATTGACTTGCTTAGTCATATACCCAAATGATGATAAACCTGCATGTGCAAAGGCTCATGTTTTAAGATTGTCAAGCCAGCAGTCTACTGTTGTGCTGCCATTGCTTTTCCATTGGGAGAAGAAAGAATTAACCAGTCATTAAACCATTTGGTAAGTTGCACTTTGCTGTGCTGATCCCACAGGAAAGGCTTGAAACATGAGAAGCAGCAAAGACAGAGCACACACGAGCATAAGGCTATTGTCTTCAGCTTGGGTGAAATGACAGTTCTTCTTCATTCTAAAAGCTTACTCCATTGAATTTAAGGCATTTGTTCATTCCAGCATTACTTGAGATGCTTTGCATCTCTGCAGAAGAAATTTATTTTAAATTGTTTGAATTTCTGGAAATATCCTTTTAGCTATCATTTATAAACGGTAAATAGTTTCGTTCTCAGTTTCACTATAAAGAGCAAATGGGAAACAAGGGCTTAATTTAGTTCAGCCATTTTGCAAGTAAATAAAGTACTAAAATCTGATTGGTTTTTGCTATTTAATAGACACTGCCCAGACACACATTTTAAGTTTTCAGTTACTATGGCTTAAGAACAAGCTAAGGTTGACCCTAAAACATTTGTTGGATGATTTGGTCTAAAATGATCACCACAAAAAGGGATCGCAAAAAAGGAAGGAAACAAGCATGGTTGGCTATGTGAAACCAGAGTGCACGGTGCGCTTTGGCATGCATTTTACACAGAAAATGAACGCAACGAAAGGTGCCAGAAGTCCCAGTTTACGCAATCAGGAGCTTAGATACTGCACACAAAAATAATTCTCTGGGTTAAAAAAGTAAACAGGGCAGATTCTGTATGGCCTATCATGTTTCCTCACCTTCCCCTCATTGCTGGCTGATAAATCGTGGTCAGGGGATGACTACTTAGTCAATATGATCTTTAGTCGTGAAACTGACAGCAGCAATGATTAAGACTGATTTATCAGGTCGGCCACTTTGAAGGACAAAAATGCAACGGAAACAGTTTTATTCTATGTAGTTTACATGCTTAAGGTTACAGAGTTTCTACCTGTCCTGTAATGGAAATATAATTTCTCTGTAGCCAAAAGCTGGCAAACTTCAAATTCAAAACTGCAACAGGCTGAAATGTAGACTATTTTTCTTTTTATGGATGGGTTGTTCAGGGATTTTTTTCCCCCTTTATTGACTGACTATAAATACATGAGTAGAATTAATAGTCATGTATTCCAAAATTTGGCTTAATTTAGGAGAATCTATTGAATGAGTACCAACTTACATTTCAAGCTGCTTAGCCCCATAATCAGTCCTTCAGCCACAGCAATTTAGAGCTTCAAAACTACCAGGTTCAGTCACTGGTTATGCTTTCTGTGATGTAATTTAGTAATTTCTGTTTTTAGTATTAACCAAGTATTAGACACAGAAAATAGATATTAAGAATCTTCATATATCCTGTCCAACCAAATGGTATTCCAGAAACCTGAAGGGATCTATTATGCTATAAAGACAATTAACACATTAAAGTGAAAACTCATAGGACCAATACAGCATCTTAAACTTCACACTTAGAAAAATATATTTTTAAATAGCACTCTACATAATTTTCAGTCTTCAGGAAACTACAGATAGGCTAGACAGCGAATTCCTGAATGATGAGTACTGATCTTTGGCAGCATTTAAAGTGAAAAGAAAAAAGGATCTAAGAATTCAGCCCTAGTCCACTAAAAAAGGAATTCTAATGGACAAGTTTTACAAATGGAGTTGGGTTCATTCATTTTGGAAATAAGCCTATGGAGTGGCACACATTTAGCTGAATACATTTTCTCAATAGAAAAAAAGCTAAAAAATTTTATTCCAAGAGTGATTAAATTGTATAGTGTTGTATATGTGAATTTAACACTTTTGTTTACATGTTAAACAAATGTCTATTATATTAGACCACATCATTAAATATGCAACACTCTCTTCCAGTTAAATACCGTTGCTCTCGAAAAACCTTTAAACTGTACACCATTGGGAATTTACCACTTTTGCATTAGTGAGGTTACAATTCAGTTTTAAATTTTCAGTTACAGAAATGGCGTCTGAACATAAACTGATGTCTCAAAAATGAAAATGAAGCAGCCATATATGACTAACTTTGGATCTGTTCCTGAATTCAAAACTATTAGGAGAAAAGTGTCCTTTATTTTTAAAAAAAAAAAAAAAAAAAAAAGGACTTTATTAATGCTTAAAAAACATCAGATTCTCCAGGAAAGCTTTTGTCTATTTCCTTAGGGAAATGTTTGCCTTTTAAAAACTGTGATCCTTTAGGGTGATCATGACTCTCCCTTTCCTTACGGAAATGCAAGAATAAAATACTTCATTAAACAATGAACCTTGAAAATAAAATATAAACACTAAGAAACCATTTCAGTAAAAAGATGATGAAAATTATCCAAATTGGGTTTTTGAGTTTTTCTGTAAAGGGTGAAGAAGTATCCTAAATTTTCCCAGCAGGTCTGCCAAAATTGCACACTTCCCAGTACACCACGGGGACTTGGCTTTTACTATCAAGTATTCAATCCTTCCTTGAAATGGCATTATCTGGCAGTGTATGGATTATGGATTATACCCAGTACATAACAGCAAGTATTTTGAATAGATCGGTCTTTCACTATTTTGATGGGTCTGGGCATTTCTCCCTGTTACAGTCTTGGGTTAGCACCACTTGACCATGCAGGGTTTGGTTTTGGTTTTTCTTCTCCCCTGTAATTCTGGTCTCAAGGTTAATTTGTGTAGTCGTCTCAGCATCTCTCAGTGAGGCATATGTACGCATTTCCAGATAAATAAGCTGCAATTAGAGAAGACAATTGCAGGAAGTTCAATTTTTAGATTTTTATAACATTTTAATATTTTTCATTTGAACTTTCAATTACACATATGTAATGTTTTTCCTCATTAACTCCTTTTATTCTATATTTGCATAAGTTGAGATTCTTAAGAACCATCTGGTTATACTACCTTCTGCTAATGTTGACTAGCTGGTTTCATAAATCAAAGCTGTAGGAGTTAGTATATTAAATCTCTGAACTAGTAACACAGTCTACTCTTCTTCATGGGCTGAGAAAGTTACTAACCTGCAGTCATCCCCTCCAGCACTAACAACATGTCGATCACCACTGGTAAATCGAATATTTGTCACGTGGGGTGAATGACCCAAGAACCTTTTGTGTTTTGCCTAAAAAGCAATGACAGACAAAGCTCAGGGCATTTGGTGCACACAGAAGTCAAAGGCTATTATTAGGGACTGTAATCTATCACAAGAGCTATGGAGAGAGTAGGGAGTTAGCACCACAGCCAGTGATTAGAATGCTTTTTCAGAGTGAGTGATGGATCTGCACTTAACACAAACCAGGCCGTTTGGGCAGTCAGATGTCTCCAGGTACACTGACAATTTTTCTCTAAGGAAAAGCATTTGAAATTTGATAATTTGAGTATAGGTTTGATGAAAAGCTAATCACAGCTTTTGTAGGATAGTTTCCAAAGATGGTATTACTTGAGGGAAAATATTTGTTTCTAATAGCCTTTTTTTTAAGACACAATCTCACTCTGTCACCAGGCTGGAGTGCAGTGGTGCGATCTCGGCTCATTGCAACCTTTGCCTCCTGGGTTCAAGCAATTCTGCTGCCTCAGCCTCCTGAGTAGCTGGGACTACAGGCATGTGCCATGACGCCCAGATAATTTTTGTATTTTTAATAGAGACAGGGTTTCACTATGTTGGCCAGGATGGCCTCGATCTCTTGACCTTGTGATCCACCTGCCTCGGCCTCCCAAAGTGCTGGGATGACAGGCGTGAGCCATCAGGCCTGGCTCTAATAGCTTTTATTTCAGACTAAATAGATTTAGAAAGTTTGAGGAAAATTCAGAAATACAAATTTGAAAGTATTTTCAAATTAGGACAAAACATTTAAAATATATGGGAAGAGTGCTGATGATCAGACATCAAAATTAGGAGCAAACTGATAATACTAAACACACATACTTACAAATTTTTCTGGACATGGGAAGTCAAATAACTTAACCATGCCAAAGTCATCTCCTGTTACAAGACTGATTCCTGAATGGGATACACAGGCACAGTTGACATCAGCTTTCTCAGCATGTCTGGACCAGATTCCCAAAACTTCATCTCCTAGAATACTGGAGGGAAGGAACAAAAGAAAACTCACCATAGCAAGGGTGGGCAGGTTGACCATATTCAAAAAGTTGATTGGCGATTTTAAGTACCCTAATGTATTACTTAAAATACAAGAAGTAAATTATGGTAAGGCTAGTTGTTTGGATACCTGAATTTCATCAGTATATTATCTCCTTTTAAAAATGAAATTTTATAATTTGAAGGGTTTCTAGATTACTCATTTTATAATTAAAGTAGTACTTTATGAAAACTGATAGAACTATTTTTCTTATTTTGAGACAGAGTTTTGCTCTTGTTGCCCAGGCTGGAGTGCAATGGCGTGATCTCAGCTCACCACCACCTCAGCCTCCTGGGTTCAGGCGATTCTCTTACCTCTGCCTCCTGAGTAACTGGGATTACAGGCATGTGCCACCATGCCCAGCTAATTTTCTATTTTTAGTAGAGATGGGGTTTCTCCATTTTGGTCAGGCTGGTCTTGAACCCCCGACCTTAGACGATCCTCCCATCTTGGCCTCCCAAAGTGCTGGGATTATAGGCATGAGCCACTGCACCGGGCCAAAAACTGATAGAAATATTTGTCAAATTAAAAGTGATACTTGGCTGGGTCCAGCAGCTCATACTTGTAATCCCAACATTTTCGGAGGCTGAGGCAGGAGAACTGTTTGAGGCCAAGAGGTGAGACCAGCCCGGGCAACACTGTGAGACCCCCATCTCTACAAAAATGAAAATGATTTATTATATAGGAAATATTTTTTTAAAAGATTTTTTTCAGAGATGGGTTCTCGCTATGTTGCT